ATTGGTGGAGCTGATCAGAGACACTGCCGTATCGTAGATCGAAGGGCCGATAGAAAGTTTAAGGGGCCTAGCAGCCAGCTTCAAGTTGATTAAATTCGAAAATTCATGCAAGTTCTAAACTGATGCAAATCTCTCGATACGGATAGCACGGCTGAGTTGCAGGGGTGGAAAGCGGTTGTTCGGTTCATCATCGACGCCGGAGCATTCAACCATCGACCCTCGCAGGTCACGGGACCTAAGCCCAACGTACTTTGGGGATCGTGCTGTTGGAGCACTCAGTGGACGTCCAGTTTTCAATCTCCAGACGCCCGGGATTAAGCCTTTCACGATTCCTGAAACCCTAAACCCTGAAACCCTACGCCTTTGGATAGGTCCGAGTTTCGCCAGCATAAAGCCGACAAACTTCAAAGTCTCACGTCCGGCTGGTGTTTGTTTCGAGCTTCGGTTCTCGCATGCAGGTGGGTTCGGTTTACGAGTACAGCAAACTTTCGAGGGTTTAGGATGAGGTTTTAGGGCCTGGTCACTTTCGAAGGCGTAGTGAGTTCTTTACCCAAACATCAAAATCGAAACCTGACCCTAGAACCCAAGAGCTCCGGAACCGCTCCAAGGTCCTTGACCCCTACCGAAAAGCCTAAAAGCCATCCAAAACCTCTTCTTTCCAGAACAAACATCCCCCCTCCCTCCCCCCCAACCCCAAAACTCTTAGACCCTAAACCCTCAAACCCNNCCCCCCCCCCCCCCCCCCCCGAACACCAGCCCTGCTCAGGACACCCCTTGGTTCGGCGCTTTTCCTGGGACCTCGGGGACCCGGAGCCCCGGCTGCGGCTGGTGGTTCTCCGGGCCCCTGGGACCCGAAATGGGGGTTTAGGGTTTAGGAGTTTTGGGGTTCAGGGGTTTAGGGTTTAGGAGTTTAGGGTTGAGGGTTTAGGGCAAGGTTTAGGGGAAGTCTAGGTTAGGGAAGGCAGGCGCAGGAGGTTGTTGGTTTACCGTTCGGGGCTAAGGGATTGAGGATTTGGGTTTGGAGATTTGCGTCGGGCTCGACAACCGCAGTACGTAGGGATTGCTAGGATCCGTTCATTTCCCGTTCCACTCCTCAGCCCCGAAACAAAACTAGCGAAGGCTTTGGTCCAAGATGGCCGGGCTCGTCTTCGGCCAATATCCGAGCGACAGGTGCAGGGAGTTGGGAAGGGGGGTTTGTGAGTGCATAAGCCTAAGGTTGAAACCATGGGCCCCTAGTATGGGCCCTTAACCCTGGGATCCTTATATACCTACTATGTACCCTATATGGGTGGTTGTCAAAATTATGGTCCCTTTTTGGGTCCTTATTATAATACGGCACCTATTATTTAGGGTACCCCAAAAAGGGACCCTAATTTTGACAACCACCGCTTATAGGGGAGGGTTGTCACAGGTTTCAGAAGGTTTGCGCATGTTGTTCTAGGATCGTGGGACTTAGGGTTTGCCTTTTTGCGAGTTTGGGGCTTTATAAGTTTATTGCAACTTATGGATGCAGGGTCACTGGGTGGGAGTACCAGCCTTAGTGAGTGCGACGTTTCTAATATAACTACAGTTATACATGCCTATATCAAGGTTGCCCTACTTATCATGCTTACAATGTACTTACAGTGTTACAGAGTCCTCTGACATCTATTTGTCTGTCCGCCCACTTAAAGATTCCTTCTTTCTATCTCTATCTGCACTATCGTCCGGCTAGACCGCTGGCAAGCAAGCCATGCGGCTAGGTAGCCAGCTAGTGAGCGAGGAACGAACGAACTACCCAACTAACGAAGTAAATGAATACATAACTGACTGACCAACCAATCGGTGACCCTAAACCCTACACCCTGTTGGCCCTGGAAGTGTCGGAGACGCCAGGTCCTGGCTGCGGGCAGCGAAGGGGAGCCCCTGACCGCCGCAGCGGAGCGGCAGAGCTTAGGACCTAGGAAAGTGGGGTTAAGGGTTTAGGGTGTAGGGTTTAGAGTTTAGGGTTGAGGGTTTAGGATTTAGGGATCGGTTCTTTTATCTGTTTTTGACACCAGTGTGCCCTGTAAGATCCAACGATGAAGGTGTTGCTTAAGGAAGAGCTTTCGGACAGCAGTGTCGCAGCCTCAGCCTAAGCCTAGCCGCAAGCCTCCGCCCCAAAATCCCCAAACTCCTCCCGAAAGCCTGAAACCCGCCCTAAACCCTAAAGCCTAAACCCGAGACTTCTCCAGCCCCCAGGCCCGGAATCCCGTCAGCGATGAACTCCGAAGCCACGTTTCAAGATTTACGGCTCCCTATAAACCTTAAACCCCTAAAACCCCCTGAACTCTCGGAACCCCGAAACCCCTTCAAGACTCCTCAAACACCCAAGAAACCCCAAACACACCCGACTAACTCCTTAAGGGAACCCTTCAAGGACCCTTTAAAGGAACCCTTACAGCAACCAACCCTAAAAGCTAAACCCTAAACTCTAAGACCCTTGAAGCAGAAAGCCCAAAGGCTCTGACGAAGCTGGGCCTCGGTTCCCGAGCCCATGTGCCTTGGTCCCAAAGTTTAGGGTTTGGGGTTTA